CCCGAGCGTCTCATGGACGTGGGAATTCGCCTTCCGTACTCAACGATCCAATCAGAATCTTTTTTCCATTCATACCACCAACTCCGGAACACGCTTCGTCCGTCTAGAACAAGGTGAGTCAAGCATTTTCACAGTGACAAAGCTGGTTTATGTATGTCAATTTACAGACTACTTCCTGCTTACTGATTCATCTGATGGGCTCATTCCTGTTGGCCAGTTGTCCGACGGGCGTTGGCACACGATCAGCATCCACTCCAAGCAAGGCGACATCTTCTTCACGGTAGACGACTCTGAAAAGATTCCCTTGGCAGAGTTGGATCTCCTCGAATCGAGGTAAGCGCTGGGAACTGACTTGGGATTATTCAGTTCAAAAGGCACATTCTTCACTGATCGTGTGACATGGGCAGGGCTACTTGGACTACTACGCCGTTCTCATTGACTGCTCTCACTCTCTAGTATGATGAAAAGAAGCGAAAAGAGCGCTGTAGTCCAAGGGATCCCGCCCATATAGACTTCCTATTCTGGACGGAGTAGGCGTGGCTTTTGAGCATGGCATAGGACGGGTTTCTCGTGGGATACTTCAATTTGAAACAACTGCTATCTTGTTCTGTGTTAGATGTAGACATGATTACGACTGCTCCAAAATGACAATATCTCACGAAAACCTGGGGCGCCGCCATGCCACGCCTACCCGATCTCAGGGATTTCGACTATAACTAACGTGGAATGGCCACTAGTGAGCTGGCTCGTCCTTCGTTTTCTTTTGATGGCTGGAAAATCTAGTCTTCGGCACAAAATTGATTTCATACATCAGGCCAGGCTAAATTTTTCTATTGCAGATTGTCTGCCGTAGATGTCGAATTGGATGGTGACATCCTGCTCATCGATCCATCGGATACTTCAGAAAATTGCGACCTGAACGGAAGAAGAAAACCTTACGGGTGAGGACAGCCGAGAAATTTCTTCAGCGTTTCCGACCTGGAATCAATTCATAATTGAGGAGCAATCATTTCTACCCTATACTTATGAGTGGATTGTTACTAAAACTGCTCAGAAGTTTGAGTTTGTAGGTCAGCGCCCCATCATGCCCCGTGAATTACCCTGCGTGCTCCGTGAAAAAGTCTAAAGCAAGGTGTACCCCCTTCCCCCAATCCACCTTTCATTTTCTTGAGTTTTCCCAACTTCCCACCGTTCTCACAATGCTCAGGAACTTCTTCGGATTTTCCCAGAAAAACTGCAGTCGTAGGGGCGAAGGAGGAAGAACGAGATTGCCACCAATCGACCACTAGCTTATGGACTGCGTTCATACTTTGCGGCAGCGTCCGGCAGCGCTAGTGACTAAGAAATTATGGATATCGATCGAGCCCCTGCTAGCGTCTACCAGCGTCTACTGGCGTCTGCCAGCATTCATCAGCTCTCGAGGGCTAGAGAATACAAGTATCGACCTTGGTTTTGCCAGCGTCTACCGACGACCAGCAGCGTCCGATAGTGGAGAGTATTGGGCGATGGAGGGGTATCACCAGTTTGCGACCCCCTCCTGCAGCCCATACTCTCCACTTCCGGACGCTGCTGGTCGCTTGTGGACGCTGCCAGAGGTAGGTAGACGCTGGCGGACGCCAGATCGATATCTGTACTTTCCTAGTGGCTGACGCTGCCGGAAGCTCAGAACGCTGGTGAACGCTGCTGCAAAGTATGAACGCAGCCGAAGAAACAGCAGTTGCACGGTAATTTTGCGGCATCGGTACCTAGGAGCTGTTGTATATAGCGAACATGAACTGGGAAAAAGCGGTGAAAGGTCTACAACCAAAAAATTTCTCTCGCGGCTGGCTCGCACGAGCATTTCTTTTTAAGACCAAACTAGACCCCATCACTCAAATACGACTCCCCCTCCCTAACGACCACGTACGACTCCCATGATGGAGTTCTCTCAGTGACGTATGCCCCAACTGGATGATGGGCACCTGTTTTCATAATTGCGGTCCACCGGGTTTTCCAAAAAGTCCAAGAATGATGGAAAGAAATCGAAGAACGGGGAAAATTCCCCTTGGGGGTGTTTGCGGCGAGCTCTTGTTCAAAGAAGGGTTCTCACCATTCATCTCTCTTTCGTTGCTGGTTTTTGCACCTTACTTCCATCAGCTGACGTCAATAGAGCTACCAGGAATCCCGAGAGTCTTTCTTTTCTCTCGAACATTCGTTTTTCAGCCACTCTCAGTCGATGCCGTCATGTAGCCGCTGTGATTGCAAAATCCTCACAGGGATTTTCCGCGACTTTCCTTCTCCCACCTGCCCACATAAAGAGGACGACGGTAATATCCATTTTTTGGACTGTTTTCAACTTTCACGTTCAACTAGTTCTTCAGCCTATCATCTCATACGAGACCCTGATCGCCTCTCGTTTTTCTATCACCCCTCACCGTCCAGGAAAAACCTTCGCCTTGGCCTCAGCTACAAGAGTGAATCGGTGAGCGCTGAACGTTACATTTTTCCTTCACGTTCTAACTAAGTTATGTATTCTTAGGACATCGGCCTCTTGCTATTTGGATTCTGGCAGGAGGACGCGAGCAAGGGACGTTTCCAAGTTCACTACCGGGGACGACAGCTGATCGCCATTCATTGTGTGAACGACGGGGAAGAAATTTGCAAGAGCTGTTCCGTACAGAGAATGCAAGGTAGGCCCATCAAGAAGCTCTGAGGGTTATTCTTGATCTTCGTGGGTTTGCTTCAGGTTTCGGTAATGACCAGTGGACACGCGTAGCCTTTTTCAATAACGATGGTGAGATGTCGCTGGTTGTCGATAAAGACGTTTGCATTCTTCGTGTTCTTAGTGATCAAAACGGGTTAAGCTTAGCCGGTAAGTGAGCTACCCTTGCCAGCCTAAGGTCGAAAACCCTTCCCAACTCGTCTATTTTCAGAGGTTTATTCGATTCCCGCGTTGGCTTCTGGAAGCGCACTATTCATCGGCGGTATGTACTACGAAAAGAAAAAGTCTGGAATCTATCTACCGAGCTTTGAGCACAAATTCTTCGAGAATACCAGGGAGAAAGTCCCATCGTTACGGGTGAGCGAACGTTCACTGTAGGTGCATGGTGGTTTATAGTTGCCTTACCCGTCCACTACCATTCAGGGATGCCTCAAAGATGTCTTCATTGACGGTGAACTTGTCGATCTCGCCACGGTCTTCAGACGTCAGTTGGAGCATACACTGACCGATTCCGTAGACGAAACCGCCTATGCTGTACAGGTAATTCGCCTGTTCAACAACAATAGCAGCATTGAGCCTTTTTCCGGTGTCTCGAAAAAGTAGAAGAGGATGTCCTTGGCAGACATATGGCCATTAAAAGGCGCATTGAATGTAGTACAAGGGGCGTAAAATGTGAAATAGCTCAGAACCGCCGAAATAGATGTGCGAATTCGTGCCATAACCATTTCATGCGCCATAAAATATAGTGCTAGTAAGGGGTTCGCTTCTCTGTCAGTGGGGATTTCGTATAGTAGCGCTTGTCCCAATTTTTTTCTCTTACACAGCAGGTTAGATCGCTTACGTTCTCGTCCTCAATATCGAATCTAGGAAGACTTCCGCTCATCTGACAGTCTTTTTTATGGCGCGATGGACCTTTCACTCTAGACACAAAATTACTGAGGCTGTAATTGGCCCATACAGTATATTGCAAGGTCAGCCAACATCCTATAAGGTCTTCATCCACCTGTTCGGTTTCTTGACCAATTACGCAGCCCTGTAGAAATGGGAGGTTCGATTCAAGAGCAGTTCGGTCGGGAGGGCAGTGTGAAAGGGATTCAGAAAAGTGAACGTGAAGGTGAAACCAGCTCATTCTACTGGATGTGCACCAAGATGCGAGCACTAAGGAAAGGCGCTTCCAGGACAAATTCCACCTACCTGGCTAGGATGGGCAGAGAAAGCGCCAGGCGGATTCCTTAATAGTGCACCCCTGCCTCGCTTCAGAAGGAGAACCGCATCAATGAAGATAGCGCAATGAGTTCGATATGTATTTCCCGGGTCGAGATGACTGTAGCAGCCTCCACGGTCCGTGATCCAGTCTCAGGTAGGCTTTCTGCTAGGCCAAACCAAGCCCTCTAACCCATAGAAGGCGGAAATTGCTATCGATTGTCTGGGAGGTATAAAATCACGACTTGTACCTTGCGCTAGCTCTCAAGTCTGGCAATCATGCACATACAGTCATATTCGGCATCGATAAGCCGCTACGAGTGTGAACGGACGGAGAATGCATGCCAAGGAGGAACTCGAGGGCCATACTTTATGTATCTCCACGCCCCTCCGATTATTGTGGAATCCGCCTTCGTTTCCCAAGACCTTTGCTATGAATTCACGCAATTCAGCCTTCGATGAGAGGACAATATTTGTATTTACTCAAAAAATCAGTGAGTCAGTCATGAGATAAAACTGTATTGGCGCCATAAGGGATTCAATTCGAGCTAGAATATGGTTAACTGAAGGAGAAACTATTTTTGCTGTCACCGCACTGCTCAGTATCACTAAATTTGACAGATCGGTTGCCCTCAGCTGCCTAACGCTTCGTGCCCGTCGGCGGTGTCGTTGTCGTCCATCTGAACCCGTCAACTAACATTGCGAATGCGCTTTGTTCGGCATGAGCAGAATTCTCTCTTGGGCGATGTCGATCCACAGATCGTGAGTTTTTCGGCCCTTTTATGACAATTCTTCTACTATAAAAAGTGGATTCAGGATTGCGACCAAATCCCTCAGTACCTCTGTCGGTTGCTATCTCGAACCCTGCACCTGTACTGTACCTCGTGCCAACGAAGGCTGCTTTGAGCAAGGTCCGAGTTCTTTTTCTGATCAAAGTTTTTGGAGGTACATCTGGAATGTCTGCCCTTTCTAGGTATGGATGAAGGTCTCGTTGCCACAAAAGGTCGATCGTAAGACAATCATAGCTGAATTCAACTCGCACCGTGAAATGCTGTACGTTTCCTCAATCGCTTTATTCCATTCTAGAAGTGCAGTAGTCACTAGAAGTTGCAATGAAGTAGTACCTTTGGAACAACGGCTGTGATCTTTGGGGGTTTCTTAGCTCTTCGCGGCTATGATTACGGTAAATAATGAGGTGTCTCTACGCAAATGGCAAAACTCCTCGCTCATGCTTATTTTCGAGCCCTATGCTGTTGTTGCAAACCTTGAACTGAGTCACAGGACAGCGACACAGCATGCTAGTAGAGCCCATGCAACAGCTCTGCATTTGCAGACGTAAAAGTAGAGCTGATCTATGGGCCCTACTATTGGGTCGGCCCATTAGTAATGGCGTTGTTTCCGGTATAAATTTTATAAAGGAAAGTAACAATTTTTCCCAATGTGTTCTACACTGTTTGATGGATGGTTTTCTGCTTATAAGATACTATAATTGCATTCTCTTTATTTCTCATTTTTATTTTATTGAAATGGAGTTTCAGATCGACCCAAAAGTGAATTTTTGACAGCAACTTTTTGCACTTTATCTCGGCTATCATATCGAGAGATGGGAATTCTGACCTTGTAAATGTGCATCGCATGGGACCCTCTTGAGGAGACTGCCTGCAGAACCTACCCCCTAACTTTCTAACATCAAGTGAGGGTGATGCTTGATAATGGTCAGGAACGCATTCCATGACCTCTGACGATTCCTCAATCTTTAGCATCTCCGTGAATAAAGTAATTCAGCAAGCTCTCAGCTGGACTCAATAGGGCATTAGGTTCGATGCTTGTCTGTGAGGTCGAAATGGAAATCTTCGAATAACTCAAACCGTTGTAAGCATTCCTAAGAGACATAGCCTCTTGGCCATATACTTAGCAATTGGGCCTGTGCGGTTTTAGCTTTTTTTTAATTGATGGTAAAAAAAGGAGGCGTTCGAAAATGCTCAAGTTTCGTCGACCTGACACTTCACTT